AGTAGCGTAACCTGTAATAATTCACCTGAGTTCTAACACCACAGTTGTAACTTATAAACATAGACTATAGCATAAAAGCTGTTAAAATCTCTGTTTATGAGATCATTAACAGGGATTAGCATAAGAAATTAAGGTGCAAAAAGGAACTCTTTTTATTCTAACATTTGCGAGCTCTTTCCTTGATCACTTGAAGTGTCTGCCTGTCTGGCAGCAGACAAAGTAACATCTGACTATATATATGACTTAATAAATCGGTTCCGGCCGGACGTTTTTTCCAGTTCCAGCTGGATCCCCAATTTTTTAGGTCAATTTCGCGGACAAAGTAAAAGATTCCGCAGCCAAAATGACAAAACCCGCGGGCAAAATGAGAAATTCTGCGGCAAAATTCAGATGCTTTTATGCAAAGTATCAATATCTACCACTATAAACAGTAATTGTAGGGTCATTTCAATTTAGACAGTAAGAAATATATTAGAAAGTGGAATAAATGTTCTGTTTCACTAATTTTCAATCTGCGGTTCTTAATCGAAGTCCCGTGTGACAGCAAGTTCGAGAAGCCGAAATACTGTAGAAACAACCAGAGTGCGCGGGTTTTTGCCACTGCCAATGTTTTGACGGTCATGGAAAACTGTATTGTCATCAAATATTATGGAACCTTTTTCACGAACCAAAGGTAACCGGAAGTGCAGTTGCAGGAATATTACTAGAAGTTCAAAAATTAAAATGCTAATAAGTGTTAGTGTCTAGTGAATTAGTGAAATGATGAATATCAATGAAAGGAAATCTCCTTTCGTATAAGGCTTTAAATTTTACAAAAACGTCTTGTATCAGATCGCACAGATGTATATGTATGTGAATTTAAGGGGAAAATAAAAAAAAACCTTCACCAAAGTTTAAATTCTGTGATTTAAACCGAATTTCGCGGAATTCCGCGATTTTTTGGACGATTCCACGAAATCGTGGAATTCCAGAATGCCTGATTAAAAGATGAACACTGTTTTATGAACCTAATTCCACTTGCCTGTTCTCACTGACTATTTTCCTTTTACAGGTTACAAGATCCCAGTTATTGAGAACCTTGGAGCAACTTTGGTAAGCTTAGCAAATCAAACATGCATACTGTACCAGATTTTCAGGCTAGGCTTGGGCAGTTTTCGGGAAAAAAAGAAAACAGTTGCAAACGAAAACAGATAAAACCGGTTTTTCTCTGCCGTCCTGATGCTTAAAACCCCTTTAATTATGTCATTGAATTTTTCCAAAAAGACGCAAAAAACGGACTGCGAAAAATAATACCAAGGTCAATATTACAGTTTTTTCTTGCTTCTCTAAAATACTTCATAACTAAAACGAGGAAGCCAACACCAAGAAAAGAAGATTGGCTACAGGCTATCCATGCGCATTCTGATCAAGGTTTGTCGCTTTTCAGTCTCGTGTACACATGTAGGTCTCGCATATTGTACGAATAAATGGCGATTTTCCAATATAGGCGAAACCGTAAATTAAACTGGTTTTAAAAAATCCCCAGTGGTCAATGCTTATGCTTTTTCACTTTTTCCTGCAATGTGCAGTTTTCTCATTACCCAATCCGTACTTAATTTCGCGCATCCTTAATTTCGCGATTTTTGAAGGCAATATTTTAGATATATTGTATTATAGAGACTTTGTTTTTCCTAGGCGAAAATAGAAAAGCGGCATTAAATTTTGCGAAAGCTTTCTGAGCAACATTTTATTTTCTACAAAAAAATTTACTGTAACGTTCAATACCAGTCAACATAAGGTATATATTGTGTGTACGGTAGTCATCATTCTTGCGGGTAACAAGACAAAATGCAAACTGTAGCATTTTGTTATTTATGTCGATATATTGAGCTTCACATGTTTTTGATCATATTGATCAAGAATTTTATTATTCCAATTTTTGACTAGGGTGTTTAATTTCGCATGTGTAAATTCCTCGCTGCAAACACATGACATTGATGTGAAAAGAGTCAGTTATTCCTCTGCCGAAAGTTGTGGGTTTTCTCCGAGTACTCAATTTCCCCCCACACGGAATTTTGACAGGGTGGGTTGGGACTAGACCCTAACTGACCCTTCTATTGTACAGTAGCTGTGCCATGTGATCAGACATGTGTCATTTTAAGGTAGCAGCGTTTGAAAGCTGTGTGCTTCGCATTTCAGCTTAGCTTTCAGCTGCACACCACCAGTAATTCCCTTACTAAGAGTCTAGGGAAGTCCAATACAGATCTAGGAAATATATTTCTCTTCCTGGAAGCAAAATCCAAAAGTTAGAATTTCTTGTGTAAGTCAATTATAAAACTTCCTGCGTATGTAGACCTCAGAGAGCGTATATGGTGCCACACAGGGTGATATAATCATGGCACAAGACAATCTCGACTTGCAAAAACGCTTTTGTAAATAATAAGTGAATCACATGGCATTCCAGTATAAAAGATGACAGAAATTCCTGCGAAGATATTTTGTTAAACATTTCCTGGTAGTGCTGCTGCTAGCAGGTGCTGCCGGACATTTTGCAGCACTGATCCAATTCTAAACAGAACATTTGAAGAGTATAAATTTAACAAACAGTACTCTGCTACTTAAATCATCAGGCATTATAGTGAGTCGATCAAATAAGCAAGTGATACTGTATTATATAGCAACTGTGATTCGTAAAGTGCATCTTAATATAGTTCAATGCATTGACATGTGGGTTTTTTCTTAGGATCAGTTTGACACAATAAATTTTTCGGATAATGATATCAAGAAGTTGGAAGGATTTCCATTGTTGAAGAGACTGAAATGTTTGTTAGTCAACAACAACAGAGTATGGTGAGTATTATAACGAAATTTATAACTAGATTTTATATCAAAGCCTAAGATCCCTATTCATGAACAGTACAGTATGGGCAGAATTAGAAAGTTCAAACATTTATGTTAAGAAATATTTGCAGTATATTACAGTAGAGTGTATAAAAAATCTTAGTCCTTATTTCAAACACAGATTTCGGCAAGTATAAAATGGCAGAACTTTTGGGCAGGTAGGTGCATGATTGAGATGGAAAAATAAAACACTAGAGACATTAATACATAACTATTAACTAAACTAAACTAAAAACAATACAATACAAACTGCAGGGCCACCAGCAAATTAAGTTGCTGTATACATGTCAAGTTAGTTTTCCATTCGATAGGTTAGGTCAGGTGTAAGAGTATCGTGCATGTTTGTTTCGTCTATGCCCTTAGATTTTCGTAGCCCATGGCTAAAGTACAGTAAGCATAATGTAGGTTAAAGTAAACGTGCCCATGTATAGTAGTCTTGAGAGTTACGTGTATTGAGATCTAATGGTTTTTATGCATATATATATTTTGACTGCAAGTATGGATGGACAAGGCCAAGGTAAGGTTCCTGTTAAACTTGATGAATGGCGTCACCCAGAAATATTCCTTAATACATGTCATTACCACTGAATGATAAGTCCTCACAGAGTTGGATGACTGCACGTTAAGTTGTGTTCTATTTGTATAATACAGTTTATAACCTTCAAATAATCGGTTCATGTCGATTTAATTCCATTGGCCTCATTATCACGATTTGGGTTAAATGAGCTGCAATTAGGATGCGATTAAGATTTTAACGGATGGAATTTAATGAGAACCAAACCATGCCATGGAAGAAAACGTACAATGAAACGCCAGTGAACTCTACCGGGTGTCCCAAAAAAAACTTGCGCTGTTTGATTTAATGTAACATAAGAACTATACAAGCTATTGCACTCAAATAAGTTGTATTGCATTCAGAAAGGGCTAACTTAGATTTTGATATATAACATTTGAATATCCGTGCAATCTTTACTGAGCTATCGATGTTTTAAATCGAATAAGCATATTTGACAATGTTAAAAAATTGCATAAAATTGCCAATCAAATATTATTTGGTTAAACTTGATTAATATATAGTTTTATTGTGGCCAAAAGAACGAATAAAAAACATAATTGTTGGATAAACATTTATTCATTTATCATAGAAAGTATGTCCCCTTGCACGTACAGTATACAATGTCTTGCACGGGAAAACATAAAAGCCAAACTTTTTCATCTTTTGTTAATCGAAGCATATTCAAAAGGCGAACGAGGACCAACTTTACAATACGAACTCTCAAAGGACGTCAAATAT